CGGAGCTGGAGGCCTCATCCCAAAAATCCAATACTTACATTAAATGATCCTAGGCCAAGAGCAAAAATACAACAGAAAATACTTTTGAGCCCTTTCTCTTGCCGAAAGCGAGAAAAAAACGTACATGTCTCCTTTCTTGCTGGTCAACGGGACGTACTCTGTCGCTAAACAGGTGAAAAACACAACAATTGACAATTTTCGCCGTTTTTGAATGATGATTATTGCAAGAATTTCGTAGAATTCCGTCCAAGAATCTGCCTCCGGCGGCCCCTTCGAAAAGGCCCCTACGCGGGGGACGACCTCCCGGGGTGCCCTCCCGGGAGCACAAGTGCCGCAAACCGAACCAAACTGATCCAAAACCAACCAAAACCAACCAAAACGAACCGAACCGAGCCACCAAAACAAAACAAATCGAACCGAACCGAATCAAACCGAATCGAACCGAACCGAACCAAACCGAACCAAACCGAACAAACTGAATGAAATTGAACCAAACCATACCATACTGAACTTTAAATAAACGAAGCAGCTACGCGCGGGACAAGGCGTACGTGGTCCTTCGCGGAGTAGAGCTTTCCGACAACGTCGTGGCTCGCGGGAGCGTCGTCTTCGTCGTTTCCAGCAACCTCACCACGTACCAGGTATTGCTGCTGCTGCTGCTGCTGCTGATATCGTTGAGGTCGTTGTTGTTGTTGCTGTGATCGTGGTTGATGGTGGTGGTGGTGATATTGCCGCTGCGGGTGCTGCAGTTGCTGCTGCCTTAACCAACTGACCCTTTTGTTGAGGTTGCCATCGACACCAGGCTTGTCTGAATGGGGGAAGGTTTCACAGCAGTGAACACGTGTAGAAAGGGTTGTTGTCGTTCATTTGTGTGGTTTGAGTGTAACACCAAGTGTCGGCATCTTGTGGTGGATGACTGTCAGGCGATGTATTCATGCATTTTGGCGCACACAGCTCTAGATGTACGCATCATTCTGCAACCGGGTGAATTTGTTGTGCCCCCCCCCCATCCCCGTAAGTTTGCTTAACCGCATCATTGTCTCTTACCTTCTGCCTTGGGTGTTTCTTGTTTGTAGCAGACGGTTTTCACTGACACCGCGGGTGCTCCTGACCTGTCTGCGGTGCAAGCGGATGAGGACTCTAGCTACAAGGCTGAGGAATTCGTTCGTTGGCTTCACCGGAAGGGTGCGTTTTGTTGCTGGTGTTGATGTTGTTCTAGCTGTTGTAGCTGTTGTTGTATTTGTTGTTGTTGGTGGTGGTGGTGTTAATGTTTGTGGCAGTGTTGATGATATTGGCGATGTTAGTGGGGGTGGGGGTGCTTTGTGAACATTGGCGTTATGCTTGGTTTTCTTGCGGCTGTAGTAAGCGCCGTTGCTCTGCCTATATCCCCGCATTCTCCTTGTGTTATATTTTCACCTCAAAGGCTGTTTTGGCGTTGTCCCCTAAGCCCTGCCATGAAGGAGTTCCGTGCGAACAGAAGCACCAGCAGCTAGCTATTGCAAGTGCTGCTTCACCCCATTTTCGAACTTTTCACTCTCATTTTTGGTGGTGATTTTTCCGCCAGTGGTCATCGAGGCGATGGGATTCAGCCGAGGTTTGCTCGTCCTCCATCGTTGGTTGGTCACAGCGAAGGTGGAAATTTTCGTCTTTGGGGTTGGCGGTGGTAATGAATTTGCAGCTATCCTCATTTGTGCATTGTACTCGATCACTTTTGTCGCTAGGGGATGGTCTCAAGCGCGATTGTACTTATCACTCACGTGTCCTGCTTATTCGCGCTTATCCGTGCTCGATTCACGCAACTTTGTTCTGCGTCGCAGGTGGTGGTCTTCAGCGAAGGGACTCTGTATCTCGACGAGTGCAACTTCAGCGGCAGCACTGCCTCGGTGCTGGTGTACTCGGAAGGGGATTTGAACACCGTCGTGCGGAATGCCGTCCTGGGGGACAACAACTGTAAGCAATTTGCATCCCCAGGCTCCCCCCCTAACATAAATATTTCGAATTATCACAGAAAAGTCCCCTATCCTTCCTCCTCTTTGTGTCACGCCCGTTGGAATTGAAATTCATGTGAGTTACTCGCTTTCATTCTCATGATGTAGACTAGTACCCAGTGGAGAGATGAAAAACATCTACAGATTCACACTTACCATTGAAACCCAATCGAATTATTGGAAATTGATACAAGTACATGCATGGCTTAAACGTCAAGCATGGCAACAGACGATGAACCTGTTTATGAAACATCTTCATGAAACCGTTCATGAAACCGTTCATGAATCCGTTCGTGGAATCAGATTTCGGCTTCATCTAAGCTGGATCGACGGTGATTCAGATTTATTCCCATGACCCTCTCGCTGCTGAAACTGAATGGCACGTGTGTGTGACTTACTGACTTACAAACGACGAAATATCCGATTCATTCTGCCCTTAATGGAAACCCATAAAAATGATGAAAATATTGATTAATCCGAATAAAATCATTGATGAAACCAATGAAGCCGTTCATGAACTTAGATTCCGGCGTCCCCCAGGCTACTCCCACGGAGTGTCATATTGATTGCCTCCGCCCCGCTCGTTGCCAAAAGAAAAGATCATGTGTGTGATACTACGAACGATGAATGAAACCGATTCATTGAGCATTTCACGAAACTCACGTTTTCATCAACAGATCAAATGGACATCTCGGAGAGTGCTTCGACCATCGATCGCTGATGATCGAAGTGCAAGTGGGCGTCGCCTACCTGTGACTACGAACCTCTAGTGAAACCGTCTATGACACCATTTTGATGGAAGAACGCAGATTCAGGCGTCCGATTGCTGGTGAACACGAACCTCCACCACGACGAACAACGATGAAACCATTTGTCAAACCGATCAGTGAAACTGTTCATTGCGAATCAGGTTCCCACGGCTCACTCGCTGCTGAATGTGAGCGTCATGCGTGGCTACGAACAATGAAGGAAATGGATCCATTCAACCAATCGAGAACCGATGAAACGTTTCGTTCAGGCGATTATATATATATATATTTTGTGAAACCACATAAGCCGTTCATAATGTCAAATTTCGACGACGCCGAGCCTGTCGACGGCAAATGACGTCCCTACGGCCCGCTTGCTGATCAGCGTGAACGTGCTTCAGTTGTGACTGCAAATATATGAGAAGCCGTTGACGTTTCATGAAACCGACGGAACCTGCCGTCAATCCGATGAAATCGCTCATGAAACAGTTGAACAAAACCGCAAATGGAAGAAATCGTGTTTGGATATCGCCGAGGCTGCTTTGACGGGAGAATGAGATCTCTACGACCCGCTCCCTGTTGAACGTGAACGAGGGTTAGATGTGACCAGGAAGGACGAAACCGATTCAGCCTTTTGTAAAACCGATGAAAATACATTGTATTTGTGAAACCGATGACACAGTCCATATTGTCAAACTTCGACGTCGCCGGGCCCGTCGACAGCGGATGAGAGCTTGACCGTCGGCACGCTGGCGAACGTGAACGAACGCCATTTGAGACAACAACCGATGAAACGGTTGATGAAGCCGTTGTTCTTGAAATCGTTGTTCACGGAATCGTCAGATTTCGACGTGGCGAAGGCGGCTTCGACAGCCAACGAGATCCCTACAGCCCACTCGCTGATGAACGTGAACGTCACTTGCGACGGATGGATGCGGTTCTCGTCGACCCCTCCCTGCAGCGAGGGGTCCCCGTGTATCGACGGCGACCTCGGGGTGTACTGTCAGTGCTACACGCGGGAGTCTTCCATAGCAGAGGTGCGTGCATGCGTGTGTTGTTGTTGTCGGTGGTTATTGTTGCGCAATAGTAGGCGGAATCGAGTGCAGACATCGTGATGCGTTGGCTACCATAGCGGCAACAGTGAAAACGGTCGACAGAAAAAGCCTTGGAGGTTTTTGTTGTTGCCGTTCCGTTGCAGGCTTACTAAATGTTTGCAGTAGTCGACATGTACAATTGTAGGGGTATGGAATGTTAAAGAGTCTGTATTGTTGTAAGAGGTACCATTAATATTTCCAGAAGCATATTTCTGTGTCGATGGCGAATGGAGTCCTATGTCTGTGCGCACCCGTGAGAAACTGTCGTATAGACTGTTTTTTCGTGCGTTGGAAGCTGTTGCTGTTGCTGCTGCACGCGTTGTTTTTCGTGCTCCAATAACACCACACGCCCAAAATCGCCCCCGTCACCCTTCACTACAGGGTTCCCCCTCCGAGACATGCGTCACGGGAGACCCGGGCCTGCTAGACCTCACAGTGCTGTCGACACCCGCCGACGCCGTCTTCCCTACCATGCTCGCCGGAGAACTCCTCCTTACCCTTAATGGCGATGAAACCGCCACCACTACCAGCAGTGCAGGGGGCTCCGGGGTAGCCGTGTCGGGGGGGCGGGAACGGAAGGCGGCGTGATTTGGAACGTTTCGGCGTTGCCGTTTTCTTCGGGGGAAGGTCACTGGAGTGGACAGTGTTTCCGTCGACCGGTCTGCTGCTCCCCTGGCGGAGGTGAGGGAGGCTGTTTGGTGTTGTGGTTGTTTTGAAGTAGTCTGTTGCCCCCAATACCCTTTAGTGCTGAAACAGCACGTCGGGGTAGCAAGTGATCGTTGTTGTTTTCATGGGACGTGCCTTACTCGGTGTCATTCTCTCCGTGCCGCGCTGACCCACGTCTACCCCAACACTCCACGTTGCAGTTTGACCGCACGCTTTCACCACACGCTCCACCGCCTCACAAGGATGCAAATTTCCGCATCACCTTAAAGGGACCCGTCAAAAAGAACAGGTTCTCATTCCCTATGCCAAAACCTATATTGTCTCAATTCTCCTGACATTATAACCTATGTTGTATGTTGGGGAACCCCACAGAATGGATTGCTCCGAGCTCGCGCACAATAATAGAGAGCTGCCCTACGTTCCCTACCGCCCGCACGACAGCACCACACTCCACGTGGTCACCCTCCCCCGCGAAGATTTCAACGGAGAGGCCACTGTGAGCTTCCAGGCGGACGGCATGTCTCCTCCTGCTTCTCCTGTCGCCGAGGCCGCCGCTGCTGTTGTCGTCTAGATCACTTCCTTGGGGGATGATGGGGAGGGGAACACCGCCGCTGTTTCCTTCGACGTGTCCTTCTTCCACTGCCTAGAGGGGACATACTGGAACAACGAGTTCGATACGGGAGGCGACTCCGGCTCTTGCTGAGAGCTGTGCACGGATCTCGATGGGGACGAAGACGTGAATACGTTGCCGCAGTAGCAGTATCACGATTTTTATCGTACTCACGAAGGCTTTTGCTTTCTTCCTCGCCCGCTCTCCCCTCTTCTGTATGTGTGAGTTATCACTGTAGGGTATGATATTTTTTTCGCCCACGATTGATTTTGTTTTTTCTTGCCTGCTTTCTTGTTTGTATTTGTGACACGCACAGTACTTTTTGTGAGTGAATTGCGTAGTGTTCTGTCTGTAACAACCACAGCGTCTGTGTTCGCCGGTGAACCGCAGCGATGCGGGTCTCCACCAGTCGGTGTTGTACGACACAGGAGGAAAATATCCGCCAAGAATGCTTGACGGGTTTTTATTGTGGAAGAGATACGACGACGACAACAACGGCAACCCATTTCGCCTCTACTCTCAGTCGTAAACGGTGGGTATTAGACGGCCAGCACTGCATTTCATGACGCTTGAAACGTTGGCTTTGCTTGTTGTGATCTGGTTCATTGATTTCTGTGGTGAAATCAAACTTGGAAGGGGGTGGACTGCGAGGACATGGGCGCGACGACCCGAACTCTCCCCGTCAACGCGGGGTAGTGGCGAGCTTCGTTGGATTCCGTCTACATCCGTCAGTGCTTCAACGAGGTACGGGGAATTATACAAGTTCATGGGCGGCAATTATGAAAACGTTTCGTCAAGACTTGTCGTCCAAAAACCCTAAAGTTGTACCTGGTATACTTGATGAAATGTATATATCACACAATGGTGTGGTACTCCTATTAGCATGTAGAGGCTGAAATTGCAAGAAAAATATGGAAATAGGGCTGTGAAGCTTTGCTCCAACGCTGGGTACTACGATAAACTCTCCGGCATGATTCCCGAGCTCGACGATCATGCCACGAAATGAGAAAATGAGCGTGGCCGAAACCGGATTCGACATTTCTCAATTGCCTTCGCGCACCTGGTGCAGTGAATCATCAACACAACCCATACCCCCGGGTGCAAATGAAGGATTGTATCGAGTGAGTGGAAGGGACAGTTCGCTTGAAAGGCGGACAGATTCAGCGAGTGCTGTGTTTCTTTGTTACGAACATCGAGTAGGATCATTGTTATTCAGTCGCAACCAGTTATTGTCCGGAAGCAGTGGCATGCTTTTGCCACGACTCCTTGGCAGGAAGAGAGGGGGGCGTGTTTGATACTCTTAGCTCTTGGCGGGGGGGTCTCCTGGAGAGCATTCAAGCCGTGTGGTATCAGGTCCGCTCACCTCGTGTAGTGTCTTTCAGTTCCTCGCCCACTATTATACTTTTTGCCGCAGTAAACAGACCCAAAAAGGCGTCTCAGTCTACCCGGATATTGATCGAGACTCGAACGTGTAGGTGATCAAAACCCTCTCCCTTGGCCACAGGTAGTGAAACTTTCCATACAATATCTCTAACACCCCCCCGGCTCTTGCTCGAGCCATGACGATGCTCCGCGTTGCAGGACGCCTGCCAAGGTGGAAGCATCGTCGCCAGCGAGCAAGAGAACTGCAACGCCGGCAACGAGGGGCCCCGTGAGTGCATCACATTATAACTCTTTTGAAGCACAAGGCGAACCTTGCGGTAAGTCTCTATATTTCCGTATGCATTAGATGCACAGGGGGGTGGGGTATGTCTGGGACCACGAGAGACCTAGAGTCATTCGAATGTCAGGAAGGCCATAGATCTCGTTCGCTCGAAGTACGTGCAGAACTTTCGCGGAACGCCCGGGAGATCTCCCTACCCGATTGTGTAAGGTAAGGTACGATGAGATTACACCTGGGGTTGAAGTAGGCATGGAGCGCCGCGTGACTCGTGGTGTCGATCATCCACCCGCCACTGTTGGAGCTGTACGGCGATTCCACGGCTGGCTCATCAGGGGGGGTTTCGAACCTGGGCAAGCGGCTTTCGGTTACCGTCTCATCTCATATTTTTCTGTCTGTATATGATCGGTACCCTTTCTTGCGGGAAAAGATGCCACATCAACAGCAGTCAGAAGGTGCTTGTGTTCTGCGGTAGTTGTTCCACACGATTTCGATTTCACTTTGCGCTCGAGGAGAGTGCTTTATTTCCGGATGCCCCCCAAACGTGATCCCGAGTATTCTCGAAAGATAGAGTTCCACCTTGGGAGAGCTTGAGCTCACTCGGCATACATTCATACTGGTAGTTTGGAAGGCAATATATGACATTACATTGTTGTTTTTGATCGAGAATAACTACGGAAATCACCACAATAGTGAAATCACGTACCCACCAGCGGTGTTCCAGACAACCCCCCCCCCCCATGTGTTTCCCATCGGGGTTGGGTTTCCGTCGCTTGGCCACGACGTTGTAAAAACATGCCGATCACTTCGTGAGCTCGGCAACCAGGAAACCGCTTATTTTATTTCCTCTGTTTTGTTTTTTTTTGCGGTAACAATGATTGGTGGTCGTGTAGATTATGTTGTGCGGGGTTGAGAACCCTCACTCCGCGCAAAGGGGATGATCGCACCACGTTCAGTTAAAGCGGCCAAGCACCCTCAAGGCAGTTACACAGTGNACCCCCCCCCCCCATGTGTTTCCCATCGGGGTTGGGTTTCCGTCGCTTGGCCACGACGTTGTAAAAACATGCCGATCACTTCGTGAGCTCGGCAACCAGGAAACCGCTTATTTTATTTCCTCTGTTTTGTTTTTTTTTGCGGTAACAATGATTGGTGGTCGTGTAGATTATGTTGTGCGGGGTTGAGAACCCTCACTCCGCGCAAAGGGGATGATCGCACCACGTTCAGTTAAAGCGGCCAAGCACCCTCAAGGCAGTTACACAGTGCTTACAACTGTCTCTGGAAGTGAAAGCACCAGAAAGTAAATTAAGCCATACGCAGCTGTCATCCGTACGCAAGGAAGGAAGTAAGCACAAGATGACGAACACCCTGAGCCGGATGCAGCGCACCCTTCATGCGACTCGCCAAATACCTCACGGCGCTTCGCGCTTGGTGATGTGAGAGCCTGATCCGGTGAGAACCCGGCGTGCTCTGTCCCGGCTTTGTAGGGATGCGAGGTCAATGGTATAACGACTTGCGGCATACACGACTGTGAGTACACCCCCCCCGTAACACTACCCCTAGCTGATGATCTCCCGCCGTAACCGATACGTATGTTGCCGAACCTTGCGACTTCCAACTACAATAAAGATGGACGCCCCATCATGTCGGGGACATCCGTCTGAGCGCCCATGGCAACTGAGAGCACACCTAGCTGCAACGGCACTCCAGGATGTGTCTCTGCTTGGCTGGCACCATACCACATAGCTTCGGCAACCACCGCCGTTTCCAAGCGGTCATCTTCCAGGCATCAATAGTAGAAGATTGTGTTGTAAAACCTGGGGATTAAGCATTTCACGGAAGAGAAGAGAACCATTAGATCGGGCAAGTACACCCAAGAAAAATAGAAACGCTAGTGCCCTTCAATAACAAAACGCTGACTCCCCCCCCCCGCGAAAACCAACAACACTCAATCGGGTAGAAGGCAGGGGCGCGGTGTCAAACACTATGACCAACACCCGGGAATCGGTCAGGATGCTACAGAAGCGCGGCTCCGGCCTGCTCCGCTCGGATAGCACGACCCGCCGTTTGGACTTCGGCGCCAGCGGGGGATGGAGCAGCTGGCGGCACCCCATTGAGGGCGGCGACGCCCTCAAGAACCTTGGCGAGGAGAGCGATGGTGGCGAAAGTGGCGGAAGCGGCCGGTTCTTGGGGGCATGGGGCCGCCGGAAGAGCGCCAGCATCGGGGTCCCCATGCGCGGCGCTGCTACTACATCTGCTGCTGCGGCTTCAGGCCCATCGAGCTCGGTCAACAACAGAAAGGGCGCCGGGAACAAATCCGGACTCTGCCGGCGCAATGGGAGCCGGCTTTGTTCCTCTTGCTCGTTGCCGTGCCGCCGCTGCCGCGGGTTGGGGTACTGCAGCCGGCGGCATCCTTGTGCCCCCGACCATGCGGCGGGCCGACAACGAAGAGAAGGAGGACGTGAGCAACAACATAGTGGGGAGCAGCAGCAGCGGCCGCGGCCTACAACCCTCTGCCGCGCCGGCCGTGCGGGGCCCCGGCGGCGGCGGGAAGGGGGCACGCGGACGGCAGCAGCAAGGAGGGGGTGGCGGCGACAGGAAGAAGAAGACGGCCGCCGTTAGGATCGGGGAGATGCTGGCGCGTCTGCCCCTGTCCAAAGATTGTCGTAGGTGCGCAGTATTTTGTGGGTGAAACGGAAGAGATAGCGAGGAGATGATGTATGTTTGCGTTGTTACTTCTGTTGCCTGGGCAACCGTCTACAGTGTCTGCGTTGAATCTCGCTCCCGAAATCGTACGCGACAGACGCAAAGTGCGCGCGTGCGGGAGCATTGCTTTAGCCTCCCCTGGTACAGCATTGTGAAGAGCCGTTTTACTCGAATCGCCCACCTGTTTTATCGGGGCACATATATCATGGCTTCGTTGATCCTCACGACCTCTCCCTCCCCGCCCAACGTTTCTGCGATGTCCCCCCTTCCCTCACCGTTGTCGTCGTCCTTTGTGCAACTGTGTTTCCTTGTTACTTTCCCCCGGCTTGCCACTGATCCACGGAACCCCTTGTGATAATGGCAGTCGTGTGGCAGATATCAAACGCGGTGAGAGCTATTTACGAGTGTTGCCTGGTGTGGCTCTCCTGTATGAATCATTTTTTTGGGGTGCAATGTCAATGCCGTGAATTTTTTCCAGAGAACCCCAGTGTTTCAGTGTTCTCCTTTCTATCTATCTCTCTCTCTCTCTCTCTCTCTCNTCTATCTATCTATCTATCTATCTATCTATCTATCTATCTATCTATCTATCTATCTATCT